ATCCAATGACTGGTGTCCTTACAAAAAGCAAATTTGGACAGTCACACACAGAGGAAAGATGGTACGAGTATGTGAAGACTGGAGTTGTGTAACCAAGAATGCTGGTAGTCAGCAACCACTGCAAGCTAGAAGAAACCAGAAAAGGTTCGTCCTTAGAGCCTTTGGTGGAAACATGGCCCTGCCAACATATCAATCAGACTTTAACCTCCAGAACTCTGAGAAAAAGCATTTCTATCATTTTTAAGCCCCCCATTTGCAGGAATTTGTTGTGGCAGTCCTAGGAAACTAATAAACCCTTTAAGCAAAATAACAGGACTGCATTCATGGCTTCTCCATTCCCTGAACGCTTCACCATACCTACTGATATTGCTCAATTCCCAGCTCAGAACAAATCACCATTCACTCAGTCAAAAATATTGATTGAGCAACTACTATATTTTGGCATTTGTAGTACATCAGCAAATAAAAGAAACAAAAATCTCCTCAAACATGGCAATAAATTCTTTTATGTACCTGGCATGTACACAAATAATTTTGATGACATGTGAGAAAAGAGAGCAAAAGGCAGAAGGCAAGTGCAAATGTCACTACATATCAGGGCAGTAGAGGCTGTTCAAAAACTTAAAAAGAGGTACACTATTTTATACTCGTGAGGAAACCTGTCCCAGCAGCTCACACTTAGACATAATATTTCCTCAGTAACTGAGGACGGGGAGTCAGAAGCAGATTTTAAAGTCAAGGAATCTGGCTGGTTTTGAAAGCGGATAACTCCCAGGAATTTTAAATACCGTGTTTTAAAATTTGTATCATTTTTATGTTCCTCTAATCCCCTGCTTTTTACGAGACCTTAGTCTTGTCAACTGTGGTTCTGCCCACAGTGGTGTCTCCAGAGTTTCTATACAGGATGGGTCAGTTAGCAATATGGTCGTAAATGAGAGCGAGGACGCATGTCAAAAGAGGCATCTCTATAGCAAGCATGTGGCATTTGCTTAGACTGCCTGTGTCTTTAGGACACCTAAAGCATCTACCTTACTTGGCCAACCACCGAATTTTTTAAGAACTCTTCCCACACTTCACATGCACATCCATAAATCCACATGATAACTATTAACTAATTGGCGTAATTCAGTGGAATGATTCCTGACTTTCAATGTTTTAAATCGTAGAGACATTATTGTATACTGGGTTTTTTTTTTAATTAGGTACTTATATAAATAACTCTAAGCCATGAAAGGACACGGTGAGGGTATTCCAGGGCTACCTATAATGTACCTTTTAAAAGGGAATGAAAAATTCATTCTGATTTGGAGTCCCAAAAGTTTCTTTAAGACAGGATCAGTGAAATGCTAACAGACCACTCAACTTGTGAATGCGGAACTAGAAGTCACCCAGGGCTGCAATGATAACTTGGTAAATATTTGCACAAAGGTGAGAGTTGAAACTATGATATAAAAATGACATCTGGCCCTCTCCAAGGTAATGATTATATCCTCCAAATCACCAAAATAACCAGACCCAGAGCTTAAGATGGCTATAAAGCTAAAGTGGAAATATAAGTTTTAACTTTTCCTTTAAACAAAACAAAACAAACAAACAAAAAAAGTGTTTATCAGTGAAAGTGAAATTGGGTAACAAAATCAAAAGAAAAATTGGCCATAAAAAAGTGAAGCAATTTTGGAGCTTCAAAACCCATGCTTTTTAATGGGGGTGGGGTAATGACTTGGAATGCTTAAAAATGCAAGGAACTATTTCATAAAATCTACTCATCACCAAAGTACATTTCACTTCTAAACTAATCTAAGATACTCATGCTAATATACTTAAGCTTATAGCATGTTTCTGGGTTTGTTTGTTTTTGTTTAATGGAAAAACAAATGATTTAAGTTAAGATGCAGGTAGAAATGAGAAATTTCTTCTGTACTTCCAAAGAAGTAAGCCTTTCTCTTCCTGAGCATGAATTGAACAGTGTTGAACTCCAGTAAACGCTAAGTAAACTCTAGTACTTCTCTGGGTCGCAATGGTACTGGTTATCGACACCTCAGAAACTATATACATTTACATCTACTGTGGCTCTTGATTTTCAACCTTCTTCTATATATTTAAAAATGAAAGGTAACTGAGTAAAAGGAACAGTGAACTAAGAATTAAATTATCTAGTCTAGTACCTATTACACTTTCTCCCTTTTAGAAAGTTAGTCAACTTCTTTAATTTTAGGGTTCCCATATGTATACATTTCCTGTCATACATAATTTACCAATTGGCTCTGAAGATTGTTTTTAAAGGGATGTTGGATCATAGTTGTGATGCTTTAAGTGCAAAAGTCTTACCCTTAAAAATAAAGAGTGTACTCATTAAGGTATTGAGCCAAGTAAAGGTGAAAGGTGCATCTTTACAAGTTGAAGAGTACTAAAACGTTTCCTATTTAAAAGAATGTCTAGAAAACTGTCCTACTAAAAATTGTTCAGTCAATGTGAATGTATTGGGTTGTTGGAAAAGTCATGACGCATTTTTGCAACGAAAAACATAGATAAAATACGTCATGACTTTTCCAACAACCCAATATTAAAAATCACATTACCAATGTACAGAGCCCGTAAATGGAAACTTCGACTAAAAATCAGAAGCAAAAAGAGGTACTTTGGACTGTTCTACAGAGCAGAATAGGACAGAAACATTTTCAGGAACGAGTCCTCTCTTTGTTCCTAGATTTCTGTTGTATTAAGTGTGGAGTGAAAGTGTTACTTGGTACTATTTGGAGGTTTGTTTTTATTTAAAAGGTTTTACAGGTGGGAAAGTTAATTAAAAGCTCAACAGAAGTATCAAGAACTTAGCCTGACAGCCTCTATAAGAAATCCCAAACAATTGTTTAACTTTTGTTTTTAGAAAGAGTAACTTTTACACATGGACATTTATCAAAGAAAGCATATGAGTTTACTGTTGTCTAATATTAGCTGATTCTGCTCTGCTAAAAATCAGGGCATGAAAAATGTCTTTATTACAGAGAGCCCTTCTTTATTATGTTATTCATTTTTAATGATTTTTTCACCACCAAAATTTATATAGATTTTGCGATTGGCATGAAATAAGGGGGCGGAGGAGGGGGGGTTCTGGTCTCTAGTTCTTCCTCTTCCCTAACTTCCCTAGCTAACTTCATTTAGGGTCAGTCACCTGACCTCAGGTCTCAATATCTTCAATTGTAAAAGAAGCTTGTTGGCTTTCAAATACTTTAAGGGTCCCTTTTAGCTCTTAACAGTGTACTCTTTTAAAATTAAACAAAGAAATGAATTATCCTAGATTCATGGCACAAGGACTAGTGAAAATGGGAAACATTATTTCTAACGTACAATAATGTACCAAAACATCAAGAAGCAGAGTTCCAGGGCACAAGTAAGATTACAGAATGCATCTCACACATGCCACTGAGGGACACCCCAGGGAAATGGTTCAGCACTCAACAACCTTTCTTTGCACAGTGCACCCCGAAATGTAAGATGAAAGGTACTTTGCCAAACCTGGGCCCTGCAGATCTAAACTTAAAGATCACATATCACCTGTAACCTCACCTTAACACCAAGCAAATAATAAGATCTATTATAACACGAGAAGCTGTAACGTGTACTAGTGGAGCAAGTTAAGTGTGCATTCCAGCTCACCACAAAGCCACTCTCTAACGTTAATTCTCACTACCCAGCTAACTGCAGGGACAAGGGGTGCTCATTTGACAGAACCTCAAACACCAATATTCACAAGCTTTCCAAAAGCTCACAGAGAAGCTATGTCAGAGAAGAAACTGGCACCTTCTGGGGAAGAAACCACCATGAAAAACCGCTTTATTCTCAGTTGTATACCCTACACATTTTGTACTAAGTTGAATACAGAAGGAAAAAAATAACCAAAAAAGTTTTAATCCCTACAATCTTCATTCAAACAATTCCCTGAAGCTACTTCTAAATGGAGGTATTGAAGGTAGAGAGGGTAGAAGGAACCACTGTTCTGAGAGATCATTTTATTCACTTCCATCATGTTTTAACAACAAGGCACAAAGAACTTCAAATACCCTCCTGAGCACTTCCTAACATAAAAAGATTGTGTGTGCTCACTTCTCTCCTCATTGTATGTATTAAACCTGTTGTATCACTGATGAATTAAACCTGTTGTGTAACTGATGCATTAAACTTGTTCATAGTGTGGAAACGGACAAACGAGGCAAAAAAGACAATGAATTGAAGAAACTCAATGTTTAGGAAAAGTGGGACAGGATTGGGGGGGGGGGGGAGGAAGCGCGCAAATAGCTATTGATATTTCCAGTCATTTCCACCAATGCCCATCCCCACATTACAAGGCTCCCACTATTCAGAGATTTGAGTATGATTTTGGTCCGCCTACATTTCCTTGCCAAAATACACACTACACAAGAGTCTAAGACAGCCAGTATCTGTTAGGCTGCTAAGTGTAGCAACTGAGTCCCGGCGGCACACGGAAGTGGTGTTCTGTAATGAAAAAGTGCAACGTGTCAGTCAGCTCGGTCACCCTCCAACATGTGGGCCACAGAATCTGAGCTGGAGGAAAAAGGGGGTGTCCCTTGCTCTTTTTATTCCCCCCACTTTGTTTTTTAACGGGGGTGGGGGGAAGAAGGGGTCGGAAATAGACACGGTGATGGTATCCACTCCCAGATAGATAAGAAACTCCTGGCAACCTCGCATCCCGTGGGATAGGATGCTACTTTGAAGGGAAGAGAAATAAGTTTCATTCTCAGTAACCTCACTCCTGGACACTATAGACACTCACTGGTAATTCGCGGAAAGGGTAACCTGCGTTCGAAGTCCTTTGCCCCACTCCTAATCAGGAGTCCTCTTGTGGGGCTGGCAGATTTAACAATCAGCAAAAGGGCCAGGGGACACCCTGGGCGGGTCAGTGCTCCTGAGAGAGGCAGACGCTTCCCAGCTACGGTCTCCCCACCTTTCCAAGACTCGAAAATTAGTTCTCAAGTGGGGATCGCGGTGGAGCGTGCGGAGGGGCAGACTTACCCCCATTCACCCCTACGGACGGCTCCAGCTTAGCTCCGGCGATCGCCAGCACTATTCCAATCATGAACCAGTCTTTCCTCATTCTCTCCAGCAGCCTCATGTTTGCTAGGGTGGGTGGGTTTTGTTTATTTGTTTGGCTTTTTTTCTTTGTAAGCTGCGATCGCTTAATCCCCGGGGCGTCTCCACACTTTCCACGGTCCCTCTTGACATGCAGCAAAGCAAGTCAAATTGCTACTTGCAAACTAAAGACCTGGGGGCTTCTCCGGCGGCTTCGAGGAGGGCTGGGAGTAGTAGTATCCAGTGACAGGAAAGCCTCACTGAGCGCCGCCATCACTACCGCGCGCCTCCTAATAGACGCGCACACGCCCGGACCCGCTCTGGCCGGAGCTCCCCAGCGCGAATGCTCTGAAACGGACACTTGGGCCGGCCGGCCGGCCAGCGCACGCCCCCGGGACATGGAGGTTGGCTTCCGGGTAGGGCTGATAGACTTGTCACTTTCAAGACCTGCGGAACCTTAGGAATGACTAGGGCGGGGAGAAGCGTTAATCGCCACAGCCACGTAGCCTTATCAAAGGTCCTTCTCCAACAAACCTTTAGGCACAGCCGCCCGCGCCCCTGGAGCATATCTACGGAGAGCCTCTCTTTTGCTTCACCAGGAGACTGCGGGAAGGGTTAGCGTGCGCTTGGGGCAGGGATTTCTCCGCAGCTGCCGCGGCGGGGTGCAGGTTTGTGTGCTGCGCGCTTCTTCGGGGCATTACGACGCTTCCCGGACGCCCGGGTTGACGTGTGCGCGGGGGGAAGGGGAGGCCACTCTCCGCCTCCTAGTTCCCCGCCCAAACTGCTGGAGTTGGACGTGCTCGGTGATCCGCGCGGAAAAGCCGCTTCCTTGTTGGGGGGGGGGGGGGGCTTTAGCCGTGGGGATGGGTTGAAAATTGGGCGCCGAGCCGCCGTCCCAGTCCGTAGGACCTCTGCCTTCCAGCGTCCGCTGTAGCCCGCGGGGGCAGGTGGGCACTCTGCCTACACCTGCCGGGAGTGGGGAGGACTGCAAGGGTTCAGTCCCCTACCGGGAGGTGGGGACCAAACCTTCCTTCGGGGGCGGTGGGTGAATCCTCAAGCTTGATCCCCAGAGCTTGCGCACCCGTGCATCAGAACCACTGTGGGAAGGGGTTCAGGGACCCCAAGGCAAAAGTGGTGAGGGGCCGGCCGAGGAGAGCCAGGCTCCTGCCTTCTCTTGCCACATGTGCTAGATTCTGTCTGTTTCTCCCTTCAGGTGTTTTCTGGCAACCAGTGACATTGATAGTTTCATGAATGGACGTCCTAGCCATAGCCCATGCAGGATCATCAACACCTCTCCGTTATCAGCCAAATAAATAAAATACTGTGTGATGTTTTTGAAATAGTCGGATATCTAATAGTTACATGGTTAACTATGGAACTTAAGGTTTGGAAGGGACTTGTGGGCTTGTTCAGTGATGCCAGACTTTAATTCTGAACTTATCCAAAGTTTGAAAAAGACTCATCCTGTAATTTCCTCTGTTAATTTAGCTTTATCTTGATGATGTGACATGCTGTCCAAAAACTAAGCATGTTTTTGCAATAGTGCTCCCAGTTGAAGGAAACACAGTATGGAATGTCATCTAATTAAACGTTAGGCAAAATAACAAAAGGTGAATCTCAAAATAAAAAAGAACTTACTAGGGAAACACAGATGACATTAAATAACCTGAAAAAGAGAAAAGAAAGCACATGAGGTATGATAAAATCTGATGTTAATTATCAGGCAGTCACAAGATGAGTGGAGCTACACGATAGTTTCCAACAAACACAATTACTTCCTTAGAATAATTTCTTCCTAGGTTAAAGAGTCATACATCTCAGCCACTGAAGGTATGCCTTGTATTACAAGATCATTAAACATTATGCTTACAGAAATTGAGCTGGTTTAACTTTATGGCTGTTCATAAATTTGTGTTTACTAAGAACTCTTTGATCTGTTTAGAACAGAGCCTAACTCATGGAAAAGTTTTTTTGGTTTGTTTTTAAGTGGTACTTAAGAGAAAACAATGCAATGCACTGTGGATTCTGTTCTGTTATGTTAAGGCCTGTATTGGTTTCCTATGGCTTCTGTAACAAATACCCTGTAACTGGAATGTGTTCTCTCATAGTTCTGGAAGCCAAAAATCAAAGCACTTCCAAAATCAAGCAATTCCCTCTGGAGGCTCTAGCAAGAGAATTCTTCCTTGCTTATTTCAGCTTCTGGTGGTTGTCTGCATAACTTGGCTTGCTTGGTTTATGGCCACATCACTCCAATCTCTGCCTCTGTCTTCACATCACATTCTCCTCTGTGTGTCTGGCAGGTGGCCACATCATTTCAGTCTGCATCTGTGTTCACACTGCCTCCTGTCTTCTTTCTTCTCCTTTTCTGTGTGTCTCTTATAAACACATTTGTAATTGGATTTAGGGCCCACCCAGATAATCCAGAATTATATCATTTTAAGCTCCTTAATTTATCTGCAAATATCCTTTTTCCAAATTAGGTAACTATTGTGCTGAATAGTGTCCCCCAAATATTCATGTCTACCTGAAACGTCAGAATGTGAACTTATTTGGAAATCGAGACTTCAAGATATAATTTGTTAAAATGGGGTCATACTGGGGGATGGCCGAGAGGCTCAGTTGTTTAAGAGCACGAGCTCTGAGCAAAACAAGGTTGCCGGTTTGATTCCCACATGGGCCAGTGAGCTGCACCCAAGCTGTGCCTGAGCTGAGCTGCTGCTGAGCTGCCAACAGGTGGCAGGATGGCTCAGCTGGTGAGAGCACATGCTCCTAACAACAAGGTTGCCTGTTTGACCACCACATGGGATGGTGTGCTATGCCCACCTGCAACTAAGATTGCCTACCCGCAACTAAGATTGAACATGGCACCTTGAGCTGAGTGGCCGCGAGGTGCCCACAGGCGGCCAGATGGCAACTGAACTTGGAGCTGAGCTAGCTGTGTCCTCCACAGCTAAGATTGAAGGACAACAACTTGGCTGTCCCCCTTCCCCAATTCCCCAATACTGTTCTCCTTCCCCAATTCCCCAATAAAATCTTAAAAAAAAAATGGGGTCGTACTGGACTAAGATGGGTCCTAAATCCAATAATTAGTGTCCTTATAAGAGGGTCATGGGAAGATTTGCAAAAGAGACACCTTGAAGAGGAAAAAGTCATGTGTAGCTGGAAGCAGAGATTGGGGTGACGTGTCTCCAAGCCAAGGAATGGCAAGGCTTCACCCTGAAGACAACCACCAGAAGCTGGGAGAGAGGCATGGAGCAGATTGTCCCTGGGAGCCTGCAAGAGGAGCCAACCCTGGTGACGCCTTGACTTCGGAATTTTGGCCTCCTGAACTATGAGATAATAAATTTCTGTTGTCCTAAGCCATCCAGTTTGCGGTACTTCATAAAGGCCACCCTAGGAAACGAATACAGGACCCGTCACAGATGCCAGAGATTTGATGTGCACCTACCTGGTGTGGCCACCATTCAACCCAGTACCAGGCACTTTCTGCCTTCTCTTTTTCCCATTACTCTCTTTCTTCAATAATCCTATCACTCTTCTCTCTCACTTATTTTTTCCTGTCATTTTTTTCTTTCCCCTTCCTCATCACCTCGTTTTTTTGTTGTTGTTACCCCTGCCACTTCACCTGACATCATCCCAACCAAACGGTACACTGAAAGCACGCTTCTCTAAAAGACACATGATAGACACTCTTTATTCAATAAATATGTTTGTTTATTGAACAAATAGTAATGTGCTGCCCCACTGTGATGTGTACATGTCAGTGCTGCATATTCAGTTGTGAACAAAAAAAGACAGAAAAGCTGCCCTCAGGAGTGTACAATCTTGTAGAGGAGACAGATGTAAACAAATACGTAGTTACAAATTGAGATAGGAAAAGAACAGGATGTTGCGAATAATCTAGATTGGGGAAGGCCTCCCTGCGATCTGAAGGATGATAGGCAGGTGGGAGCAAGTTACTGCTCAGCAAGGGAGAGCCTGACACCATAGAATTCAAAGACCAGGGCAGCTAGACTAGTGAGTAAAGGGGCAGTGATGTGAGAAGGGTGGAGAGCTAGGCGGGGTACAGATCGTGTGTGCCCTCTCATGTTGTGGTAAACGATTTGCTCAATAGTGTAGGAAGCCCCTGAAGGATTTGAAACTAGCTAGTGATGACCCGTCTAGTTTTGCTAGAGAGATTAGAAACAGTTTCTGGATAAATAGTTCAGGAAGGAGGACTACGTCCATGGAGCTGGAAAAGGCAATTAGTATAAGAACTGTTAAACAGGAAGAATAAAAAACAAATGACGCGTCATCTTTAGGGGAAAGGTGAAGCAGTCTAAAATGGCTCCTAGAATCTGCCAGCTACATGCCAATGCCATCCGCTCAGCCAGGGAATCTTGACAGAGTAGACTGGGGGAGGAGAGTAGGAATTCAGTTTATGTCTTGTGTTCAAGGCCAGGAGGGCATGTAAACAGGTATGTCGAGAAAGCAGGCAGAAAGGAAGCTTGAGCTCATGAAAACAGAGATGCTGTAGCTCTGGGATTCTTCAACAATACATTATGGAAATCACAGTCATCGAGGTAGCGAATCTTTACTTTTAGATTCTCACATTCGTTACTTAATGTCCTAGAATATGGCTCATTTACGTACAATATTTATGAATGTTTGCTGTGTGCCAAGGACATGGGTACACCTTGTGATTGCTCTCATGGATTTTTGTGTTTAATAAATGGTACTAGGAATTCAATCTCTGGGCTGTTGAGAAGATTCATTGGGATAGTATATGTGTATTGCTTTGCATGGAACAAATGCTCAGTTATTTATGCAACAAATTTTTTTTTAAAGATTTTATTGGGGAATTGGGGGAAGGGAACAGCGCTGGGGAATCGGGGAAAGGGGAACAGACAAGTTGCTGTCCTTTTGTTCTTCAGTCTAGTTGTGGAGGACGTTGCTTCACTGGCCCAAGTTGGCACCATCATTGTGCTCTTCCCGGGTGAGGCAGATCAGTCGCCGGCTTCTGGAGGGCCGCTCACAGCGGCTGCTGGCCGCTCACGCTGCCTGCTGGCTACACACGGTAGCCCATGGCAACCCACTGCAGCAGGGGCTGCAGCCCACGCCATCGCCGACTCACAGCAGCCCAGCTCCGGGTTGAGCTGCTGCTCACCATCTTAGCTGTAGAGGGCAGTGTCACTGGCCCTCATATGTGGTATCCGAACCTGGGCCCTCTGGCGTCCCAAGCCAGTTCTTAACCAACACGCCACTCGGCCGGCCCTGCAACAAATTTTTATTGAGCACCTAGTTTGTGCTAAGCATTATTCCGAGGAAAAGTGAGAGGCAAGGTTGCAGCTTTTTTGTGTGGTCCAATAATGACATACAAAAAATAAAGTAACAAGTAGTACTGAGTGCCATGATAAAAATAAAACAGGTCATGTGATAGAGTAAAAGGGAGGTTACTTTGAGTGGTCTGGGAGAGCCTTTCTGAAGGGGTGTGATTTAAGCAAAGACCCCACTTGGACTCCCATAATGGAGTAAATGTCCATGATGCTAATATCTGGGAGATGAGCACTTTAGGCAGAGGTAACAACTGGTGAACAACCTGTGTAAACGCACTAAGATAGGAATGATCCTGGCTT